TCTTGGAGGTTGGAGACTCCTAGGCGGTAGGAGTCTTTCAGAGAGGAATCAACCCTTGTGATTACCCCCAGAAAAGTTTGTGAGGGTTTGGAGACCACCCCAAGGTCTACCACTAGTGGTTGAGAAACGACTTAGTGGTGTTGTCTCAAAGAGAGAATAGGGTGAGCCTTCGTGGCGTTGGTGTGCCTTCGTGGTAACACCCACCTCTCTAAACGGTGACGTAGCTTCCCTCCAAGGAAGTGAACATCGGCTTACATCCTCGTCTCTCGGAGTTGCGGTTATCCCTAACCTTAACTCTCTGCTTGTGGTTACTTGTCTCATCTGCACTTACCTAAATCATATTGTGTTAGCCTACTCATCTACTTGTATTACTTGATTATCTTGTTTAGCTCTTAGCATCACACTTGCAATTGCTAGGCTCACTTTCATATTCCGCACTATTGCCTAAAATTGCCAAGTAACAATTAAAATTTGTATTTGTACCTATTCACCCCCCCTCCTCTAGGTCCATCTCGATCCTTTCACCATCGCAACTAGGAAGCTTAAAGGGGTTAATCGGGACAAAGGACACGAGAGGTTTTTATACTAGTTCAGCCCCTTACGATGAAGGTAAAAGCCTACGTCTAGTTGTGTTGGTATTGCTAGGGTTTCAATCACCAAGAGGCTCAACTCTCCGTCTTGGTTCTCGATCTCTTGTTTCTTGCCCTAAGTCACCACCGGGTCGTCCCCTTATATACACGCGTTGACGCCTGGTGGCCTACAGTGTCCTGGCCGGCTCATAATCGTGCCCAGCTCGGTCACTTCCGTTACATGCCTTTCCTTACAAGTCTTTCCTTACATACGGCGATTTATAATACCGGGCCTTAAGCCGCCTCCAGGCCTTTGGGCCTTCTATAAGATTTAATAAACTATCATCTTGAATGTTTACTGGGCTTCTTGTGTAACCCGCCATTGGGGCTGACCCGGCCCCTCCTGGGCGGGTCATAACTGATAGTTATATCCCCAATAGTTATTTCTAGCAATAATTCTTCAAAAGAAAAGAAAATATGTTTTTCCATTATTTGGCAGGAAATATCATATACAGAAGGAAACCAAAGGGAATTACGACAAATCAAGTCAAATGGAGCAACTTCCATGTGGAGAGCCAAGCCACCAGGCGCACCAGAGCAGAAAGACAGCCTTCCATGTGACCGTAAGCACTTGTATGAGCGATCATATGAGGTGCCAACAGATCCACCATGTCTATACAAGACAATTTCATGAAGGGACCCAGGGGAGAAGAGAACCCTAGCCGCCACCACCACATCCAGAACAAAGAAGAGGAGATCCAAAGAACCTTTGGAGATCTTCTTAGTTTTGGTCCTTTCATCTCCATCATCATATCATTCTTCACTATTGTAAGAGGCATTCCAAGTTGTGAGAACAATTTTAACTCTATTCATTCTCATCCGGAGATCAAGACTATTTGAATTATCCATTTCATCATATTGTTGATCTTCGCGGTATTATCGATATGGTTTTCATGGGTTTAATATCTGGTGTGATTGGTTTCTCTCTTATGATGCGTGAGTAATCCCCCGTAGGCGTGGGAGATGTAGGTGAGTGGTAAGATTCATTTGTGTCTAATCTATATGTCGTCATTTGTATTTGTGGTTTTATGATCTATCTAGAAAGTTGTTATTTTGTGGTGAAACCTATGCGTGTTGTCCAATTTAAGGGCCCATACAAACACGATCTCAAGACCTACATAGGTAACACATATTGTTTAGGGAATATGTGACCTCTGACGTGACAGGTGGAGATATCTATGAGGATCGAATACAATATGAGATAATGGTGATACACGAAACTTAATGCTTGGTTCCGGCCCAAGGACCTTAATTGTGGAGACGGCCACTCTATGGCAATAGCAAAGCACAACCATAGAATGAAATGTTATTTACTTTCACTTTTATTTATGTTATTTACTTTTATGGGTTTTTCCTGTCATTGCTATAAACCTTTTATCCTTGTCATTTTGGTTTACTCGCCCTCTAGGACAGTAATAATATTTGCAGAAGCTCAAGCAGGTACTTCACACGAGAATTGTGACACCTTGTGTGTGATAGAAGCGCCACTATAAATACCCTCATCCGCTCTTCGTTGGGACGATAGCTAATTGGGATACTTCCACGAAAGTGCTACATAACCTTGTTTGGCTTGCAGGCACCAGCCCCTAGGGGGCATGACATGTAAGCTTGTGGGCCCATCATGGCTCCGTTTGACCTAATTCAAAGCCTATAAATTCCCAAATATTCCAAAACCCCCGAAGCTAGACCCGAAACAATTTTATCGCCGCCGCAAGCCTCTGTTCTTCTGTGATCCCATCTGGAGGCCTTTTCCGGTACTCTACCAGAGGGGGCATTGGGGAGGCAATCTTCATCGACCTTGATGCCTCCATGATGATGTGTGAGTAGTTCCTTCACGACCTACGTGTCCATAACATTAGCTAGATGGATTTCTCTCTCTCTCTCTCTCTCTCTCTCTCTCTCTCTGGTCTTCAATACAATTATCTCTTCGGATATCTATTCGATGTAATTCTTGCGGTGTGTTTATTGGGATTCGATGAATTGTGGGTTTATGATCAGTTTATCATTTAAACTATTTGAGTCTTTTGAGAATTAATCGATGTGTGATTTTATAGCTATGTATGATTTCCAATCTGTAAGTCTACTTTGGCCAATTAGACAAGTAGATCTTCAGAGGGAGTGATGCATAGTAGTGGGTTCGATCTTGCGGTGTCCTTACTCTGTGACAGGAGAAATTGCAAGGCACGTATTGTATTATTGATACTAAGGATAAAACGATAAGGTTCGAACATATTTTTTGGTCTCACTTTGTCTACATTATGTCATCTTGCTTAAAACGTTACTCTGTTTGTCATGAACTTAATACTTTGAGATGCATGTTGGATAGCGGTTTCGGGGTGGAATAATAGTATTAGATGCAATTGGATCAACAGTCTACGTTTCACGGACGTAATGCCTATATACGAATCATGCCATGAAGAATCATAATCATAACTATGTGTTATTCTGTCAATTGTCCAACACTATTTTGTTTACCCACCGATGTTATCCTTATGAGAGAGATGTCTCTAGTGAACCTATGGACCCTGGGTCCATTCTCCATTATTACTAAAACCTAAAATTGCTCGCTGTTTTTATTTGCTTTTATTTTATTTTATTTGCATACTTATCACTATCATATTTAATCCTTGCAATTGGCGAGAACAAGGGGATTGACAACCAACCCTCTTGCCTTCGTCGGGTGCAAGCATTTGCTTTGTGTGTGTGCAGATACGGTTCACGTTGTTTGTGTGTCATCTCCTTTTGGTTTGCTGAACCTTGGTTCTTAACTGAGAAAAATACTATCTGCTACTATAGTACTTCACACTTCCTCTTCAGGGAAGCCCAACAACTCTACAGAGAGTAGCGACAGCAAACATCCACGATGTGAGGCGGGAACCGCTCTTCGCATACAAGGAGGAGGAGACGTCGCCGATGACCAGGAGGTTGACGACTCCGGCAAAGGGTTCCTTGACGTCATGATTTGGGTAGTTTCCTTTTTCTATATCTCGTTTTATCTTTGTACCATGTACTACATTGCACAAGGTTGTATGGAAATGAGGGTTTGCAAATGGGGTGGGGGTCTGGTTGCCTTGGCGGACAAATGAGGGCCTGTTGGCCCCTATTCGTTGACGCGTCTGCGGACATATACGGGGTCACATTTTCCCAGTCCGGTTGGAGATACTCTTAGGACTTGGTCGGAGTCGTGTCCATGGAGCTCAACAACGTTGTCCTCATTCTTCACCACCACGAGTCCACAACCCCATGCCCTTCTCTTCCTTGTTCTCGCCGGCGTCGGATGCAAACTCCGGGTTATTCCGGATGCGGAAGGTGGTATAGAGCACGATGATGAGGACACCGCCGGTGATCGAGAAGAGGAGGGCAACGAACAGTGCAGTTACAAGGCTGCATAGTGGAACGTGAAAGTAGATGAATTGCAAAAAACCATCACATTTGGGGCATCGATTGCAGAAAACCACCTAGTCCCTAATTTTCTGCAAAAATCACTGCGTTTCTAGTAAACTTTTTGCAAATTGCACTGATCAGATGATTTAGCCTGATTGATTACTTTCTAACAAGTGGGACCGGATTGTAAGGAGATGATTTGGTAAAAACTTGACATACAACTCCCTGGATTTCACAAAAATACCCTTATTCAAAAAATAAAAAGCAATCGGCCCCCCCCTCCCGCGGCCTCCCGCGGCGGCGAGTCCGGCGGCTCCACTACCAGGTGAGCCCATCACCTTCTCCCTCTCCCTCCGCGCATAGGGCCGACCGGCGCAGGCCGGCGAGGCAGGTCAGAGCAAGCGCAAGCGCGCGCGAGCGGGGCCGGCAGCGCGCTCTAGCGGAGCGAGCGGGGCAGCTGCTTGCCGACGCGCGCGGGGGAAGGCAGGCAGGGGCCGCGGCGTGGCTGTGGTAGTAGCGGGGGCGGGAGGTCCTTGGCGCTAGGCATTTCCCTAGGCGCGTGGTTGAGCACCAGCAGCGGCAGCAGCATGACATTTCCGTTGGTTTCCTGCTGCAGGAGCTCCGAGGACGAACGCGCGCTCGACGCCCGCACAGGGGGTGTGCTTCACGGACGCGCCTTCCTCCCCCTCGATTCCCCCGCCGCCAAATCCGAGGGTTTTTTTCCCGCCCCAAATGGAGGAGGTCGAAGCTCGAGCTCCATTCCTGCATCACACGGTCGGATGCAGAGGCATCGTGCCCCAGGATGCCGCCGCCGCTCGCCGAGACGCCGCCACCGGCCCGATCTACAGAAGCCCAGCCACGCGAACACGAAGGCATCGTGCGCTAGGACGCCGCCGCCCGCGGCTGCTGCTGCTCGTCGTCGCTCCAGCATCCCCGGCCCAGCGCGAGCACGCCTCCTCCTGTGGCCCAGCGCACCTCCGCCCACCGTCAGCCCAGCGCATCGCTCCGGCGTCCCAGGCAAAGCAGCGCGGTGGAGGCCAGGAACCCGACGCCCAGCGCGCCTGAGGGGCTGATTGCTTTTCTGTTTTAGATCAAGGGGTGTGTGTGTAAATTTTTTGCTCTTACAATCTGGCCCCAATTGTCAGAATGTTGTTAAATGGGACAAATCACCGTATCAGTGGAATTTGCAAAAAAGTTTACTAGAAACACGGTGATTTTTGGACAGAATTAAAGACTAGATAGTTTTCTGCAATCAATGCCCTAAATGTGGTGGTTTTTTGCAATTCACTCCGTGAAAGTAAGATAGATATTTCCATGGAGGGACGTAGCAAGAAAACGTAAGTGAGAGGGAGGTCAGACGAAGAGGAGCTAAACTAGAACACTACTTATTTTTTTATGTAGGAGAGATAACAGAGCTTACAATTATTATTTTTAGTGAAACCACAGCTTATAACACCACTAACATGTGACACACGTGGTAAGCAATCCAAACTATTAAAAAGAGCTTATAACTCCGCTCGACAACTCTCTGCAGGCCGCACTGGGCTGACCCACACACACACCTAGCCCAATGCTCAATGAACTTAATGCACACCTAAGACCCAAACAGCTTGGCTAGCCAGCAGGGCAGTTGGAGCCTTTTCCTTCAGCTTATGGCTGCGCCGCCCCCATGTCCAAAGTAGCGGTGCTGACAAAAGCTTATCCAAATAGATATTTCAGACTTTCGGGCAATGTTTAGGCAGCCACACATACAGGAATACTTCGTTCACTGATGCTATTTTATCTCAATAACGAGGGTGTAAAATACTCTATTGACTTAACCCATCCTATAATATATGAAAATCTAGAGCTGACTAGAAATTGGCCTCACATATCAGCAAATAAGTGGTAGGTACTGGAATCCAGTATGATAAGCCTGAGCGCGGCGGCTGCAGCCGTGACCGACAACAAGCTGAACCCAACAACATTCAGCCAGTGCCAACCTTTCTGGAAGGCAGAAAGTTTGGGCCCCTTCACCATCAGGTACATGTGGTTCGCAAGAACGAACGTGAGGGGGAATGTGCTCAGGGCGCCGGTCAGGCTCATGAAGTCGCCAAGGAACGGGAGCATCGCAGCCACCAATGTGTTCACAGTCAGGTAGCCTCCTCTCACACCAACTCTGAACACAACATTATGGATTGCAAAAGGCCCACCGTGTCCGCTGCCGAATCTTGTGTCCAAGTACTCATACATTGGGCTTGCAAATATCTAGAAAAGAAACTCAAATGTTAGTTCAGCGAGGGGAAATATCAACTTTGAGATGGATTGCTTTTTGGACTATGAAGTACGAAGGTAGACCTACATGTAATGCTATGACAGTCTGAAGAAAGGCAGAGAGATTTGCCACAACTTTTATCCAAGCTGGACCATGGACGCTATTCAGTAGATAACTCGAGGTTGACGATCCGTAAGCCCAGTATCCCATAAAGGTCACAGCATACAGAGGCAACGAACCAACAGTGAATTGGAACCAGAGAGCTTTCTCCATGTTCTTGACCACAGGAGGCCTTATGGTTGCCTGCAATGTATATGAGTCACATAAGGTAATCTGATGGCACATAAACTAGTCGGTACCCTTCTGTGCTATTACAATGACTCACTTGAATTTCTGGTAGCATTCCAGTGTTGTACGCAAATACAAGATTTGCTACAGCACCTATCGTAGTGAAGACTCTAGTTGACTCTGATCCAGGAATACTGTAATCTTTTGCAGGTGCTGTTATGCCTTGAAAAAATCAAGTGATGAAACAAAATGTCATGTTGAAGAAACCTAAAGCATATTTATGGTATGTCAACAAATAGAATGCATACGAAATTATGGTACGAAATATGCCAAGACAGCTGAACAAGGCAGCAAAGGGTAATACCATCTCTAAGCGACAGCACAAATGCTATCACGATATAGATGAGACTGAAAACAGTGGAGAATCCCAACCAAATTCGGAGAGCAGATAGGTAAGGAATTCCAAATGCAAAAAGAGCACAGACAAACCCAGATAATGCTATGCAGTAGGGAAGTTTGAGAAGCCCGTCATCTCTAAAGAGTACGTATATTGCCTGAAGACAAGAAATCACATCACAAATAAGCCTTGGGAGGACAAAACATCACAAGTAACTTCGCACAACATAAGATCAACAATTTAACTGTTTTCAATGGAAAGAAATTCAACAGATGGATTCCCAGCAAATGTTTTGAATACAGATATTTTAACCAGAATGGTTAAGTTAGGTGCTAGTGGATACGCTATTCATACCTTCAGTGCTTGGCCAGCTAAGATGATAAAGCCAGTGTTGATCATGAAAAGATTAATATACTGCAGAGCCCATGTAAGCGCATACATTTTTCTTCCTGTAATCACCAAAAAAAAGGTAGACTAATTATGTTGGGACAAACAAATTGCATTTGAATTCCATCCAGATAAAAAAAATCCCAACTGGAGCGGTAAAAAGGGAAGTGGTGTCCAAATGGCAAACAAGTACTCCCTCTGTACCAAAATACTTGTAGTTGGGAGAGCTTGTACTAGTTTCCCCCAGCTACAAGTATTCCGGTACAGAGGTACTCCCTCCGTCCGAAAAAGCTTGTCCCTCCAATGGATGTATCTAGCACCAAGTTAGTGCTAGATACATCCATTTGAGAAAGAAGCTTGGGACAAGTTTTTCCGGACGGAGGGAGTAGTAGATTAGAACGAGGTACTATGTACCTTTGACCCAAACCTCAACAACCACAACATGCACTCTACAACTAGGACATATGGGTGTCCTCAAAATCAAATAGAGCAAACTCCAGTTTATTAAACGTTATGTCTATCTCATTAGAATGCAGGGAAAGAGTGTATGAATATGTACCATATATATGTCCAGCAAGATCTCTGTATCTAATATGGCGTTTCCCGCCAACTTCATGAAGGCGACCAAGCAGAGCATTTGCATACATCGAGATTGCAGCAGCCAGGATCAAGCCGCATGTTCCACCAATCCAGCCCAAAGGGACCATAATCGACCCAGAGTATCCAAGAACATATGCACTATTGACCCCTGTTGTCAGGACAAATCCAACTTGATACCAAGGATCTGAAAACAAGCAGGATCTTTCGTGTGTTAATTAGTCACAGATACAAGAACTGCAAGAAAACGATTCATGCGCATAACATTTTAAGGTTCTGAACCCTGATCAGAGGAAGCAGTGAGACGGGGCATCACCTAAAATGCAGATTAAATCAGCATTTATTTTTTTATTTTATGTCTTCTCATGATCAAAGTATGATGAATGTAAAAAACCCTTGGAGCGTTACAGAAATCAGTTGGGTTAACATGGTATTAATTTGATAGCAGAAGATACTATTGATAGGCATTTGAGTTGATGGCAACAGAGTGATCAAGATGCAGAGGGAGTATCAGAGACACATAGCCGACAACCAGTTTGGTGAGCTATCCTTGTTGTTATCACGGAGGGAAGAGTGAGGTAGAAATGGTTACCAACGCTAATCTGGTGGGCCGTATCATCAGAAACGTCAACCCTGTCGACCTTTTCATCGTCGGCCATCTTGCAGGGCAGCAGCGGCGCCCTGTCTGTGTCCCCTGAGCCAGGCAAGCAAGAGGAAGAGGTTGACGCCCAGGAAGAAGAAGCTGGAGGAGAAGAGTTGGAGAGTGCTTCCTCGTCGTGCTGTTGCTGCTGCCGCTTGGTGGCCTATAAAAAGGAAGCCGCAGACGTCAGAAAAGTAGCATCCGACAACTGAATTTGGGGATTTTCTTTCTTCTAAGAGAGAAAAACTTGATTAATTTCTCCTTTTCACTCCACATCCATAAGAAAAACATGGATATCTATATTAATAATCTATTAAATTCCTCCTTTGTGGTACTACACATGATCCATAGCACACTTTGTGAAAAATAATTAAAGTAGCACTCCATGTCAGAATATTAATAATGATCACAACAATAATAATAACAGCAATATCAGTAATATTAGTAATAATAATAATAATACAACTAATCTTTCTGAATGAAAAATCTATAATACAACACCTGCTATTCAGCTATTTACATTACATACTAATAATTAGTATTATTATTATTATACTATTGAAGCGATCAATCCATGTCAGAATAAAGGCATTAGTCCATTCATCCGATTCTGTAGCAGAATAGGTTCGTTCGTTCTGTGCGCCGAGCTATCTATACTATGTAATCTGGTAAAAGTAGTGGAAAGGGGGGAATGAAAGAAAGAGAATCCCCACTCACATCCATGTGAAAGGCAGCCGGGCGGGGCGGGGCGGGGCTTCCTTTTGGATTTGTTATTAATGCCTTCCTCCTTTGATTTCAATCTGAAGAGAAAAAAAGAGAAGGGAATGGAATCGATCCCCTCCCCCTCCCCACTAACTCGACCCCTTTAATTCTCCGCCGACGGTGCCGGCTATGATGATTGATGGCAGCAGCTGTGGCAGAGGAGGCCGCGGCTTGAGATTAGAATAGGGCCGCGGCAGCAGCAACCGCTCGCCGTAGCTGGCTAGTGCTGCACCGCCGCGGCTCTACCTAGGTAGCTAGTGCTATATAATAGGCCGAGGGGGAGGGGGAGGGGGAGGGGGCGAGGGAGGAAGAAGAGGAGGGAGGTTGTGCCCGTCTACTGGACTCTCCGTTTGTTTAAAGACCACGAGGAGGATCGAGTCGAGTTGCTTCATTTGTTAGTTGGTCGCGATTTTTCTGGCAACGTACGAGCAAGCGGTTAGTTTGTTACCGCGAAAAGATCCCAATATCACTTACCGTAACATATCTATCTATCTATCTACGAGAGAGGGATTATCTCCCTACAACTTCACATAAGGGCATGTACAATGGTTCTATCTTAGCAATGCCACGTAGGATAAATGATGATGTGGAGGAGAGAGAATTCATAAGAAAAGGCTTGTCTTTTCTTATTTAAGAGAAGACAAGAGATGATCTCTTAGCACAATATGTCTCACCACGTTTTTAGGAATAGCTAGTTATGAAAGATAAGACTAAGAGATGACCCATTGTAGACATGTTTTTTTGTCATTTCTTAATTACATGCAAGACTTAAGATAAGGCTATCTTATCAACCATTGTACATGCCCTAACCCGTCTTAGAGCATCTCCATTTGGTGGGCATAAACACATTTTAGAGCAAAAGGGGGTAAAAATGCTGCTCCACAGGTGCCCTACTTAAGGCATGTACAATGGTTCTATTATAGCAATGTCACGTAGGATAAATGATGAGGTGGAGGAGAGAAAAATCATAAAAAAGGCTTGTCTTCTCTTATTTAAGAGAAGACAAGAAATGATCTCTTAGTACAATATGTCTTACTACATTTTAAGGAATAACTAGTTATTGAAGATAAAGCTAAGAGATGACCCATTGTAGACATATTTTTTTGTCATCTCTAAATTACATGCAAGATTTAAGATAAAACTATCTTATCAACCGCTGTATATGCCCTTACAAACTTTTTTACTCTGATTCTAATTTTAAGGCAGGTGCAAAATACAGCACTAAGTGTTGCGACTGTTGTCGCAAAACAAAAAACAGTCTCGCGGGCACCCACCCACCGTATTGAACGTTTCCCTTCCTATTCCCGCCTGACCGGCATCACCATCGTGCCGCCGCC